CTAGGGTGGAGTCTGGGAATAGGTAATTGCTATATACATTCTTATAACTTTTTTAACTCTAATAAGTGAAACTGATGCATGTAATACTGATACTTATTGATTTTAATACATTTTAGAAATATGTCATTTTGGTAAAAAACGGGGTTCTTGGCTTACAAAGCAGGTGTGGGGGACCACTTCCCATCAGCAGTTTAGAAAAAAAATTTATCAGTGAACTTTTTTTATTGAACCTCACCAAATAAGAGGGTGTGCGATATCAAATTCAAAAAAAAAAATAATAACCAACCTAATATATATATATATATATATTATATATATATATATATCATATATATATATATATATATATATATATATATATATATATATATATATATATATATATATATATATATATATATATATGTGTGTGTGTGTGTATATATATGTATATATATATATACATATATATATACATATATATATATATATATATATATATATATATATATATATATATATATATATATGTTTATATTTAGTGGTGCAGAATATATATATACATATATATATATATATATATATATATATATATATATATATATATACATATATATATATATATATATATATATATATATATATATATATATATATATATATATATATATATATATATATATATATATATATATATATATATATATATATGTTTATATTTAGTGGTGCAGAACCTCAAAATATTGGCCATAATTCAAAACTTTTCGAAACTTTGTAAAATATTTTTTTTTTTTTTTTTATGAATTATGTTGTTTATGTTATCTAAAAATATATAGTTTTGTTATTTTTGTTCATTAACAGAACTGCTAAATGGATTATAAAGACGTCATTTTTGTAATAAATTTCCAATTAAAAGATACAAACGTTTTCAACGCAATTTTTTTTTTAATTTAATTTTAATTTTTTTTTTGTCACAGTTTTTAAGATATCTTAAATTCTACTAAAAAAAAACTTATAAAAATTACTCAAATAAATGCAACATTTTGTAATTTTTAATTCGTTGTTTGTTCAAAAGACATCCTAATCAAGCTAATCTAACACAATCTTTATTAAGTATAGGTTACGGTTATATCTCGTTAAAAAATTCAGCTGCATATATTCATGGATTATGATTAATTTTTTAGCTACTAACATGCAACTTTTTTTATGCTCTTACATTTTCAAAGTATATAATAAAATTTGTTTAAAAAATATATAAATGCGAAAATTTTATAAATGCCAATAACCAATTCACTTTGTGTGGTTGACTTTTTTGTTAGAAATTTTGTTTTTGTTTTGGTAAAAAGAAATTTTAAATAATTTTTTTCTACTTTCAAGTCGAGAACTGTTGACGCATTTGGTGGTTTTTGAATCGCTTTTATTTCAATTGAAAAAATTTTTAATTTTATTTAGATATATTGCACACTTCCCGTAAAACCACTACAAAAAAGATACAAATAATAATTTTCTATAACTTTTACTTCAATAAACTGAACTTTTTTTATGTTATTTAGTATTTAAAAATGTTAGTAAAACTGACTCGCTTAGAAATATTTAAACATATCAAAAATGGCATAAATTTACCAAAAATTGTTATTGGTGAAAAATGCAGGGCTTTACGAACAGAAAAACAAAAGTCTTGTTATGATAATGATATAAAAGAAAAAAAATTTTCAAAATGCGTCTTTTTACTTTCATTAACAATGCAAATTTAAAATGATCAAATACAAACGTTGCTAAACCTGCTTTTTAAAATGCGAGTTCAATTGGCTCAAGGGTTTTTTAGTCAACAAATTGATTGCTGCAAGAAACAGTGCTTTTTATCCTTCTTCATCTATAAGTATTTCGAGATCTCTCGATGACTCAAACAAAACAAAAAAAAGGTTTTTTAATTTTAAACAATTAATTTTATGTTTATAAGTAGTATTTGTAAATGTCATTTAGTTATAAGTATATTTTTAAAACTATGTTTTTAAGTATATTTATGATAAATTTTTTTAATAAAGGTTTAAAGTACTAATACTCGGATGAGAAAGCACATCGCACTAAAAGGCGAGCTTCATATAGTTTATCAAAAACTACTTCTATTGAAAAGCTCTTATTTGCTGCATCGGCTGCTGCTAAAGCAATGTAAAAACCTGATTTGGCATACGTCCTAATGCATTTAAAAGAAGAACCATCAAGTGCAACAAGTATTGCCGAGTTCTTAAAACGCGATTTAAAGCCTAATTTTAAATCTTCATTGACTCCTGAGGATTCTTTTGCATTGATGATCACGACAGATTTGACTAGAAATGCTTATCAAAAGCTTAGAAACAATGCCAAGAAGAATAATGCTGTAATTTATCCAAGCTATCGCAAAGTACTATAAGCTAAACAACTATGCTACCCTAAGAATATAACTGTTACGGAGTCAAAATGCGAGGTACCGTTGCTAGATCTGCTGAATCATACAAGTTGTTGATTACTGCAGTTAGATCAAGTGCAATCTAAAGTTAAAACCTTGGTTGAAATATTTGGTAAAACATTAATTCTAAGTGGGAAATGGCGCTTTAACGGTGCCTCTGGACAAAGTATGTACAAACAGCAATTTTATTTGGACGATAGCAGCTCTGATAAGCACATATTTGTAACAACATTTGTTCCACTTGATCTTTCTTTTCACTTGATCACCTAGTTCACTTTGCAGAAATCAAAAACTTTCGTTTTCTTGTTTTTGTATGCCAATTAGACTACAGTTCAAAAAAGAAGACTCTAATTTATTACGAGAAGAAAAAGATTATATACAGAATCAAATAGCATCATTAAGAGACACAATAGTAAGCTTACCAAAAGAGCAAAACGAACTAATTCAGCTTAGAATTAAGTATAATCTGGTTAATATAGACAGTCTCTAGCTAGGTCTATCAAGTTTGCATGCCTGTATTCATTGTTTTGAATGTATACTTCATATTGTATATCGCCTTGATTTCAAGACTTGGCAAATTCGAGATCAAGACCAGAAAATGTTGGCTTCAGATTAAAAACATAGCATTAAAATTGAATTTCGAAAACTTTTGGGTCTTCTTGTTGACATACCAAAAGAAGGTGGTGATGGTAAAACTAATGGTGGTAATACCTCGCAAAAAGCATTTCAAAATTACCAAATATTTAGCGAGATTACCGGGGTTGATGTCAAATTGATTCGTCACTTATACACTATATTGAGTGTCATAAACTCCAATGTAAAGATCAATTTTTTTACATTTGAAGCCTACTGCAAAGCAACCTTTGAAAAGTATGTTGCTTCTTATAATTGGTTTTTCATGCCAGTTTCTGTGCATAAACTGCTGGCCCACAGCGTTCAAATTATGTCAAGTATTCATCTACCAAGATTACTTGGATTTTGTAGAGTTTTATCTGAAGATCAAGCTAAAAAAAGAATGAAAGAGTTTAAGAAATATAGAAATAAATATTCCAGAAAAATGAGCCGAGTATTGACAAACCAAAATATGCTAAATAAATGTTTGGAAACAAGTGATCCCATTATTTCAACAATAATTGAAAATAGTAACAAGGTAATGATAAATAAACACAAACTTACAAGCAAAATGCTTTCTCTAGTAGAATCACCAGAAAATAGTTGGAAAACAAAATGATCTAATCAGTATTTGCGAATATGAAGACGAGAAAATATTGAACCAAAAACATAAACAAGTTGAAGATAAGAGATACAGATGAAGATAAGGAAGAAGAAGCATACAAAGAAGAAGAGACCGAAGAAGAAAGAGCTTTTTTTAGCGAGTTGTTTCTATCGAAAAGGATTCCATCAATACTCAAAAAATTGTTTTTTAAAATCGATAATTGCATTAAAAGTACTCGTCATTTAAAGTTGTTATAAAATTTATAAAATTTATTAACTTTAACTTTTTTTTTTTTTAAGACTGTCATATACCATTGGTAGTGTAGAAAAATGCCTTTTTTTTTTAAATTTCACGATAAAAAAAAACAACGAGTGTATGAATGTAAAAAAATAAAAGTAATTTTTTTTTAACCTAGCAACATTACATTGTTGGTGTTTATCAAAATTTTAAAATTTTTTGAAAACTTTTTAAACGAATTATATACTTTGAAAATATTAGAGCATAAAAAAGGTTGCATGTTAGTGGCTAAAAATTAATCATAATCCATGAATATATGCAGCTGAATTTTTTAACGAGATATTACCGTAACCTGAACTTAATAAAGATTGGGTTAGAATATCTTGAATAGGATGTCTTTTGGACAGACAACGAATTCAAAATTAACTTTAATGAAGTGAAACTTTTTTGACATCGAATTTAAGATATCTTAAAAATACTGACAAAAAAAAAACAAAAAAAAATTAATTAATAAATAAAAAAAAATGCTTTAAAAACGTTTGTATCATTTTAATGGAAATTTATTACGAAAATGACGTCTTTATAATCCATTTAGCGGTTCTGTTAATGAACAAAAATAACAAAACTATATATTTTTAGATAATATAAGCAACATAATTCATAAAAAAGAAAAAAAAAAAAAATTTTATAAAGTTTCGAAAAGTTTTGAATTATGGCCATTTTTTTGAGGTTCGCACCACTGTGGGCCGTCCTAAAGACGTCTTCCATGGGGGGGGGGGTATATACATTTTTCTACAACTAGAGACACACACAAAAAAAAGGTCCTCAATATTTGTAGTTTGCCAACTATAAATCAAAACTTGCTCAATGTGCTAACTCAAATGCCGCTTTTGGGGGGGGGGGGGGGGAATACCCCTACACCCCTCTTAATTATTAATTTTGAATACTCCAACCTATTGGTTGTATTCAAAATTAATCGGTTTTTCATTACAAAACTCTTGTAGCTTTTATTTGATTACGTTTGTTTATACATTAAAAGATTCTTAACAAAGCTTTGTCTTAAGAGGTATTTTAATTCAACTTTATTGTCTCCATTTCGTCGTTTCTTTTACTGTCATTTAACTAAATTAACTTTTTAGCGTAAGTGTTAATTAACGATTAACGATTGACAATATTTTTAAAAAATCAGTTTCCTGATGGAAGAAATACTTCACGCTTTAAAAATCTTTACAACAAATGCTGGACTTATTTTTCAACTTTTATGTAAGAACATTTGTTTATCAATTAAAATGTTAATCATTGTTGATTTTGTTCATCTTTGTTACTAAAGCATTGTTACAAATTTCTTTTTTTCTAGTGGAAAGTTTCTTTAGTATATTTCTAGTTACTTTTTCGTGATTTACTTAAGAAATTGTAAATGTAATTGAAAAACATGTAATTAACATACCATGACATGTAATTTAGAAACACAACTTGTGAATAAGAATTTGTAATGTGTAAACTAGAATTCATAAATTGTGATTGTAAATGCACAATATTAAGCTACAGCTTACAAAGTAAAATAAATACCCGTTTTATAACGGGTAATTACCATTACGTTCAATTTATAGTTTTTATGAAAAAAACATAACGGTATTGCTGTTATTAGGGGGGAGCAAAATGGAAATTCGGTTTAAAAACCGAATTTTTAAAATTTCAACAAACCGGACCGGTTTTGCTCACCACTAGCCGTTATAATTTTTTCATACAATTTATACATTGAACATAACGGTAGTTACCCGTTCTAAAACACGAAATCTAGCGTAATGTTACCGTTATGTTTGAAAACCTGAGATAATGGGTAATTACCCGTTATGTTTATTAACTTTGGTAACTTTTAAAAAGGTTTATTAACTTTAGTTTTGGTCATTTGGTCTAAAAAAGATGTTTTTAGTACGACTTTTAAACGTATAAAACTTTTTTTATAAGCTTAAAAGACGTTTTTTTAGACTGAATGTTTGGTTGGAAGGAATCAAAAGCGAGCGGTCAATTCGACCGCTAACACATGGAGTTAACGGTCAAAATTGCTTTTTTCCGAATGGTCAAAACTTTAATTTTTTTCTTTGTTTAAATTTTTATTAGTATTAGTTCCTCATGACTGAGCTTTATAAATACATAAATAACTTAATACTTAAAAATTAACGAAATCGTATTCCTTTTGAAATTATAATTTTAAACATAATTAATGCATTTTTAAAATGGAAACTTGCAAATAACAAACGTTTTAACTACCTGCTGATGTTAATAGTTTTAAAAAGTTCTCGCGCCCATAGATTTTCATTCAATTAAAAAAAGAGGTTTGATAACATCCCCAAAATTTATCGCTTATTTTTTTTTTTTTTAATATGGAATTTTAGAAAATTAAAAAAATATATAACCTAACACTTAATACGAAAAGAAACCGTTTTATGAAATGCTAATATAACATTAAGTTATGTTACTTTTGAAAATAAGTTTAAAGAATTTTTATTAAAGACTTTTTTCTTTTCAACAGATGGTTTTAGCTCGTATCTCGCTTGTGTTAAACGTGAAAGTGTTGTTTGTCTCTGTTTGCTCGCCACCATTATGATGGGTTGAATTTTAATGATTTATTCCACTTTAATTATAGTAAAAAAAAAAGTGCTAACGCACAATTAATAATTTTAAGTTTATTTTGAAAAATATAATTCATTGCAAAAGCGTGAGAAAAGCTTCGAGATAAAACATTTAATGAAAAAAAAAAAAGTTAGAAGAGAAAAATGTTCCTAGTTACATACAACGATTTCAAATAATAATATAATAAAAACTTCAATCTTTAAAGTTAACGACAATAAAGAAAAAAAATGGTTGTACATTTTATATTTCTTTTTATAAAAATCATTTAAAAAATTACTTATTGTTATTTTGTTAATATTAATGTTATTAACTCTCCTGCGCAAATATTTAAATTTTTAATATTTTCTCCTGCGCAAATATTTAAACTGATAATTCAATACTAGGAAGTCAATCGTTTTATGAAACCTACTATAAAAATTAAAACATTACTTATAACGAGATTATTACTAGATATGTATATAGATATTTTTTTAAAGTTTCTATATCAGGAAATAAAATGCTAACGCCCAATTAGTAATTAAAAATTTCTCTATAAATCATACCGGTTTTTACATCCATTAAAAACAAACACGACAACCACTTAAAATAACCATGACATTCATTTAGAACATCGTGACAATCGATTAAAACAATTTTATTTTCAATTAAAACATTTAACGCATGCGCAATCTCAACATTTTATATTATTCAAAAAAAAAAGGGGTTATTTTGATATATATATATATATATATATATATATATATATATATATATATATATATATATATATATATATATATATATATATATATATATATATATATATATATATATATATATATATATATATATATATATATATATATATATATATATATTAGCCTGTGTAATTAAGTAAAAAAAGTTCGGAAGAGTTCAGAACTTAAGCGCTTATCGGCGAATTCAAATGTTATGTGCATAGTTATGCGCATAATATGCATTTGATGCGCATACAAATTTAACCGATAAATGGTATGTGAAATTAATTATTGTCAAATATAGAATAAAATGTTTTTAAATCGAACGCTAGTGACTTTAAATCACAAAAAAATATTTTAAATTAAAATTAGTTATTTCAAATTATTTTCATGATTACAAATTTAAAAAACTATATTACAAAACTTGGCAATTTAATTTGTTTTTGTACAAAGGGACTTTCATAAGGGGTGGTTTCGGTATATGAGATTTCGACGCCATCTTTATAGGGGATAAATGCACATAAACAAAATCAATCTCAGTTGTTAAGAGAATGTTTTTTTCAATTAAGAAAATACAATGGATAATTTTGAATAATAAACAATTTTATAAAATAATTTTTAGACCATTGCTCATCTACAAGTTACTTTACACGAGTTGCGGATCAGAATATATAAATTTAAACAGTATCCTTTCCGTACATAAAAACCAAAACAAAAGGCATAATGACGTTTTGTAGTCGAAGTTTGCTTGGATTCTACAAGCATCCTGCCTTCAAATATCTCTTTAATCAGAGAAGGCTCAATGTATCATTTTATCACTTCATTTATTTTTTAAAATTATACTTTGATTATAAGAAAAAGCAGTTTAGGACAGCCAGAAAAACTGTGACTATTAAAACGGATTTCAGTTCACCTGTTCACCACGTTGCTTGTTAGTTATAAAAATCTTATGGAGAAAAATTCTTCCTGCTGTAGTTTTATTTAAAAATAAGATTCAACCGATATTTTATTTTGAATTGCTGGTTTCAATAATATTATTTTTGAGTTAATGGTTTCAAAAAATTTTGATATGTCCTTTTAATGTTATTATTTGTAAAAAAAAATTTCATGAAGCAAAGGAAAAAATATCATGAGTTTAAAAATGATATTGTCAAAGTAAAAGACTTATTTTCTATGACCCTGTCTAACCAAATCAAACTTATATCAGTACGCCTTGCTTTTAAAAAAATGAACACAAAACAGTTATTGTCATAAACCTAGAAAATTAGAAATTCCAGAGAGATGTTATAAAAATAAAAAAATAAAGGAAACAAACATTTGAATTGCATTGTTACAATGTTTTATCTTCACGTGTAAAATCTAAATCACTATCTCTACTATCCCTTTGTAAAAATGCCTTCTTTTCAACGCTTTTTCTTTATAAAAATGCTTCGTTATTATGTTAAAGAAAACTAAACTTATAATACTAACTTCTTCAGATCATAAAAAGTTTACTGTGAGAAGTGATATTATTTGCATAATGGAAAAAAAAATTACTGCTACAAAATCTACTAAAAACATTATTTTACTAAAATTGTTATATAAATAATAACAAGAAATGTGTTATTATTTATATAACAAAATTCAAGCAAAGAAAACAATTTCTATCTTTACATCTTATTTACAATGATATTCAACAACATAAACAAAGAAATTTAACTGAAATAAATATTACCATTGAGAAAATATACAAAACTGATCCTATTAAATATAAAGATTATAATAAAATTTAGAAAAATTCAGACTGATGGCTAAACAAAGTAACTTGAGTCAAAATTCTTGTTTCTATTCTGTATATTCTGGAAAAAATTCAAAAATTGAATAATTAAATTAATTAATTAAAAATTAAATAAAATTATAAATAAATTAAATTAATTAATTAAAAATTAAATACCCCACTAGTTTTCATTATCTGGTATTAAAATGAAAATATATGAAAATATGATATAGATATGAAAATATAGCTAAAAAAATAAAACTTTCGTGTGCTGAAATACCATTATGCATCAAATACCATAATACTTATTCAGTTTGTGTATTATAGTGAGGTAACTCAAGAGTGCTGAAATTAAAATTTGCAGTTAGAAATTGTGTTGAACTTTTTGAAATTGTGCACAGTCTATAGTCATTAAAGCTAAACGATGTCCATTCTTGACAAATATTTTGCAAATTCTTACTTTTCACTTTTAATAATAATTGATTAATAAATTTTGGGAGAATTTTCACTTTTATAGACTCGTTTTATTTTTCTAGTATCTTTTTGCATTACCTTCATCTAGTCTTTTATTTAATGGTTTATTTTTTTATAATAACATTTTTTATAGTAACATATTTTGAAATTATACTTTAAGAAATCTTTAGATAATAAGAAATAGTAAGAGGAGTTTCTTGAAGATTTGAGTTGTTAGCAATATCTAGTTTTATTGTATATCATTTCTATTTATATCTATCGGAAGGTTTTGGTTCGTGAATAATTAAAGAAATAATAACTAATAATAATTAATATCAAATTTTTCAATTTTTGCATAAACTTTTATGAATAACATACTGTAATACCGATATAGATTATAGATGTTACCTATATCTGAACTCTAATCTTCATAAAATTAATCCGTTCGACCAATTTATGAAAATTAAGAAGATTTAACTAAAACAAAGTATTGTTCAATAATACTTTAAGTCACATCTCGTTTTTTTTGTACCAACGTTATTGTAACATAAATATGAAGTATAAAATCACTTTATATTGTTAATATCTTTGTAATAATAGTTATATTAACAAAAAAAACCCAAATTTTGACTATCAAAGTCATTTACAAAATCTAAAATAACGAAAAACATTTAATAATTAACTAAACAAAGGCGCCATTTCGT